ACAATTACCCCTTCATGAGAGACCAGGCCATTGATCTGTTGACAACCACATTAATTGCATTGCTACCTGTGCCTTTTAATCTATTTGCTTTGGAGCTGAAATTGTTCAGTGAGCTTTTTAAAAGGTTTTTGAACTCCTCTTAAGTATATTTTGGAAGATTTCTTATGTTTGAATAGAGTAACAGTATAGCTCATTTAAAAAATATGTGTCATGCTAGTTTTGTTCAAGGAAAATTTAAACATAAAACATGATTACCAAAGTGTTACCAAAGTGATTACCAGGGCCTGATGTCAAAAAGAACAAAAAAAATGGATTGAATTAGCTAATTTGAAGAAATAGGAAAGAAGCTGGAAGACAATAATGAATTAGAGAAAAGTTATAAGAAAAGGAAAAAAACAAACACTAAGAGGATGTACGTTCGCCGTCAGGTAAACAGCGCCAGTGAGTAAAGGGCAACAACCACATTTTTAAATGGGCAAAAATGTGGAAAGAGAATAAAAATGTTTAACTTCACTGACTCTATATGCAGAAGAGATGAACAATATTATACAGTACAGCACAGGGAAACAGATATGTGATCTTGTGGTAGCTCACAGGAAAAAAAGTGACCATGAATATACATATGTTCATGTATAACTGAAAAATTGTGCTCTACACTGGAATTTGACACAAAATGTAAAATGATTATAACTCAATAAAAAAATGTTAAAAAAAAACTTCACTGACTCCAAAAGATGCGCAAAGTAAAACTAGGAAGTTCCTGTGTCAGCTCTCAGATGGGCAGAAAGACTTGGTTTGCCAGGACACTGACGGGCAAAGGTTCCAGGAATCCAGCAGTGTCTGATCTCCACCAAGGAGAATGCCAATGGTGCAAAAGAATATCAAACTTTTAAATGCAAATACTGTTGATCCAGCAAGACAACATTTGGGAATTCATTTTACAGAGTTTTTGACCCAAATTGATAATGGCATATGTAGCAGTATGTTTGTTGCAAGACTGTTGAAATTCCACAAGACTAGAAACAACTTTCAAGTCCTGTCACATACTAGGGAGGTCAGTCCTCAGACACTTGTACAAAGGACTATTCTGCACTCACTGAAATGAAGGGGAGCTTTATTTATGCTAACATGGGGACATCTCCAAGGTGCATCTATCATAAGTGAAAAAATAAAGATACAGAAAGCATGTACAGTTGCAGTCTGGTATTTTTCAATGAATATATGCACATGTTATAATTAATCTCCAGAAAATACAAGAGAAACTGGTACCCATGAGCTGAAGTCTCCTGGGATGTTGGCTAAAGTGGTCTCAAAACACCAAAACCACATTCATAAAGATGATGATTTCAGAAGAAAATTACTCTTCAAAGTCAACTGAACATTTTGGAAATTCTTCCTAGTTGTCTAGGGCTTAAGACCCCTGTGGTTAGAATCAAATGCTTGTAATTCCACAACTGCACATAAATCTGACTCTGGGAGTTGGTGCGCAGAACACAGACTTCCATACGCACCCCAGCTTCCTCACTCACTACCCATTACGTTTTAATATCTGAACCTCCCTCCAGTCTCCTGTTTCCTGATGTCCTGACCCTGGATGAGGCGTCCCCCTCCATGCTGCCTGTTGTCCCAGGTTGCCCTCATAATATATGACTTGTTGTATAACTTTGAACTTGAAATGACCTATTTACACTTGCCTCCCCTGCCATCTCAGGATCTCATCTACGGGATGATCTTCCACACTGTGTACTTAGATCCCACCACAAAACTCACCACACAAACTCTGGGGTTTCCATGAATACAGGTAAAGAAACACACAAGCTGCCACACATCAGGGCCCCCAGTTCCCATTTCCTTATCATGTTAACTGCTGCCCAGGGGTCCCAAGCTAAGGGACACAGTTTAAGGAACTAGTGCTCAAGGGCAGAAAGTGCATGCACACCCACCTGCACCCGCCGCCCACCTCTCTGATGGATGGGCCACTCTGTGTTCTCTGGGTTCCTCATGTTTCCCTCCCATGAAACTTACCCAGCAAGGAAGCCACCACCATCTGTGACTCACACCACAAGGACATGAATTAAAAGAGTGAAGGAAAAGCCCATCACTTGCAAACCATTCATGTCCACCTTCATTCCTCAATCTGGTCAAGGAGCGTCTCTTCAGATGAAACTGGTTTTGACATGAGGATTGATTTCTCACTGAATGTGATGCCCGCAGGCTGACAAACTGGAATCAACAGGCATAGCTCTGCTTTCTTGAGGGCTGTGAGTTGATGCTGAGTTGCCATTTCCCTGACCAAAGCCACTGGAATAAGTCCCACAGCTGGTCCAGCCCCCAAAGACTCTTGGGTATCAGCAGAGGAAGGCCCTGAGCACACCGAAGGTCTGGGTGCTCTTGTAAAGGGGGTGAGGGGCTGTGGTGAGCGCTGCCTCGTCAACTCTCCCAAGGCAAGTTGCAAGTATACAAACAGGAAACCGGAAACAGGAGTTGGTGACAGGAAGTGATCATGGTTTAGAGAAAGGAAGGGAGTGGGAGTGGGGGAAGGACAATTAAAGCAGAGTAAGAGGAATCTT